TTCTGCATGTGAACCATTTAGCACTTGAAATGTTGATCTATATCTGCATTTATGATCTTTTTAAAGTTTTAAAATGGCAGGAGGACTTCGTGGTGCCACTGAGGATAAACCAGTCCAGCCTCCTGGATTGCTCCATCTTGTCCTGGTGTTGAAGACACCCATGAAACAAAATCCCACCCTCAAAATTGATTGACCAAACTGCCTTAAACACACAGTGTGTTTAAAGCAATGTAGGATGGAAGTTGATGGGTACAGCACTCAGTGATCACTTGCCCACAGTGAGGTGGGCACAGCCAGGGCAGAATCGTGGTTCAAATCCACCCAAACCTGACTAAAAAAAGGGTTTGTTTGCTGTTTCCAGGCTGCTGGTCCATGGAGAAGGGAGGCAGCAGCCTGCTCCAATGGACCAGTGGCCAGAGCTAAAGGCACCATCCATCCTCAGAGCATCATGTGGGTAATTGCAAGGGTAACTCCAAGTCACCACACACGTCCATGACTCTTTTCCTCCCCTCAGAGCCCCGTTTATTTGCAGGCCTGACTGGAAGCAGATGGACCTGTCAGGGCCGGCTCAGGCAGGTGAGTGGAGGGTGGATGAGCTGCTAAGTGCTCCCAGCTGCTGGGCAGGGCCCGGAGGAAATTGTTGGAGCTGGGACCCAGCTCTGAGGTGAGATCTGGAGCCAGTGCCAAGAAGGAAAAAGTGAATTTCTCCAAAAAGCCATTCTCTGAAACCTGAAAGAGCGAGACTTTTGAAATAAGAGAAAATGTCTGAAAATATCTGAAAAAAAAAAGCATCTAATATATCCTCAGACTTCAGAGAGCCAGAAGCCATCCTCAGCCCCTGCCCCCATCTCTGCTTTTGTTCAGGATCTGCCTCCTTAGACAGCAAGTATTACTTTTCCAGGGCTTTCTCCGTTATCACTGGTGTTTCCTTCTCCAAAAAGGTCTTGACTTCTACTCACTGGTTTGTGTCATTTGATTTATAAGCTCAAGGGGTCCTTCTCAAAACCTGGACTCCTTCTTGTACTTAATTGCTACAATAAACTGAAGTCTTTGTGCTTTAGGAGAAACAATCTGAGAGGAAATTGTTTGATGTATGGAAGTAGACAGCAGGCCCTTCTTGGGAATGTCACTGAAGGGACACGGTGGAGAAGTGGGTTTATAAATAACTGCAAAATTCAGGAACTCCACGAGCTCAGGGAGAGCAGAGCTCTGTTAAGCATGAACAGCTTGTAGGGCAATACCCAACATCTGCAAAAGTCCTCACAGCCAGTGGAATTCCCAACGGCCCCAACTGCTGTATCCACTGGCTTTAGCTCCCTGGGATCAGAGTGAGTCCCATGGAAAGGGACGCCTGGAGCTTGCATCCCATAATGCAAATAAACCAGTCAAAGAAACAGTGATTAACAAGCCAAAGGTTTTATTCACATTGCAAGGAAGGTGGTTTTCCTTTTCCTTTTTGAAATTATTGTGTAAAAAGTAACTCTTGGTGGTTTTATATGTGTTTTTTCCCAGTGCTCGGTGGCTGGAATACCAGTGGAGCATGGAGCGGGCACAGATGGAATTGCTGCATGGTCCAAGCAATGCCACAGCTCCAGTGCCTCCAAATGACACAGCAATAAAGAAAATTATAAAATTCCTTCAGTGTGTAAATGCCAAGGAATGAGGCATTACTTGTGGCACTGCAAAACATGATCCCAGCCACCACGTGCTTGGAGCACAACTCCGTAGGAGCTGGGGGATGCACCCCCTGCACCCAGAATCCAAAATCCATCCAGGGTTTGGAGAGCTGCCACAGATAATTTTACAATTATCTGTACCTCTTCTGTAGCTTTCTGAACCGCTTTCCCAAAGAGTCACCACAGATTTTGTGTATCTTTGGGACAACCAGACACCCAAAACTAAGAGGAAAGGACACGTAAATATTGCAGACTCATCTGGTTCCAATAGTGTGTGTTTACATATTAATGTGCAATACAAATTTGTAAACATGAGCTTTTGAAACGTTTGTAGGAACCGATACCGGCCTTTTCCCTTTCTGCAGCTTTATTGGAACAACATGTCCCCGGGCCCAGCCACACATGGACATCGTTTCCACACTGGATGCATTTCAAATGGTCTGGGTGCTTATTTGTTCTGCTCTATCTTGCCATCCAATCCTCGTTTGCTTTGCATAATTGTGATACAAATTATCATCTAATTACAGCCCAAACCTCAGCAGATCGAATGCAAACCCGGGCGCTTCGATCGGGAAAAGCGACATCCGCCGCTCCCTCCACGCCTTTGGCTCCCCCTCGATGGATGTATTAAATTTGGGTGAAACTGGAGGGTAAAACTGCACTTTGATTAAAAACCTTATTGCTGGGGTTTTTTGTCTCCTTGGGTTTTAAATCAACCCCCCGTGTCTGAGCACTGAGTCCATCCCATATCCCGGCGCCGAGTATGGACGTGACGCCCTTGGTATGACCAGTTTTATCTGCTGAGTGCTATAAATGGGGTCAGATATTCCCAAATAACTTCCAACTCCTCTTGGGAAAGGTCAAATGACTAATAGCTGAGCTTGTTTAGCAAGTTTAATCCCTAAAAAAACCCCTTTGATTACTTCCCCCCATTCCCATTTAAAAATAGCACCATAATACTGGGTAACTGGGAACTTTGAAATTGCCACAAGTTTTCAAATAACGTTTGTGGGAGGAAATACAAAGCAGCACATGCGTAATTGTATTTCCAGGCACATGGTCCTGCTGTAAATATCACCCTTGGTTCCCCCAGCTGCATGTTTAACAACTAATATTTATTATTCTGTCTTACTCTCTCAAGTTCTGCCACTTGCCTCCCAGCAGTGGCTGTTTTACAAAGCACCCTGAGAATGTAGTGTGGAGATTACCTGCTGGTTTGGGCACAGTTTTTGCTCAAATAGGTAAAATCATCCGTGTTAAAGTGTGAGCCATTCAGCTGAATCATCGCTGTGGGTGTGGAAAATATGGGTAAGGGAGCCTTGGCTGGTCTGAGGTGACCACAGTGGCACAGGACAGAGAGCTACAACTGCCTGAAAACACCACCAACATCCTTCTCATTAGTTGCAGTGATTTTTGGAAGTATAAACCCAGGAGAGAAAGGCAAAGGGAATGGAAATAAACCTCAGATAACCTGGATCAGACAGTGCCTCTCAAGCCACGATGGCCTTTTGTATGGACAAATTGATATTTATGGGTTTGCCTGAAGAGCATCCAAACTGTGGCACCCATGGGACACGCTCATACCTTGCAGGGAGCAGGCTCTGGGTGTGTTTTCCAAGCTGCTGGGATGAGGGAGGGTGGCAAACCCCGTGATCCCACGGGACCCACGAAGGCGCCTCGAAACCCAACCCAATTCCACTGGAATCAGCAGAGCATCGTTCCTGGTGGAGCAAATCACCACACTAAAAATACCCATTCAACTCATTATCAGCCACGTTTTTAACCAGCCACTGATTTACTGGGTTACAGCTCATGGCCAGCAACTCTGGAATATCTTATGCAACTGCAAGGATTTGGAAAATTAGAAGTTCTCCGTTGCACAAATCCATGACTGAGCTGGAAGAGCCTTCCAGAGCACAACCACATGTTGGGGCTGGGAGGTGGTCACTCAGCCCACGGGGAGCTGGACACAGTCTGTCCGGGGCCAGCAGTGGATTTGCCGTGGGAATTCAGTCACCACCAAAGATGAGGGATGGCTTGGAAATAAGAACTCCCAAAGGAAAACAGACGGTTCTTTTTTTCTTTTAATAAAAACAGTGAGATAAACTGCTAAGAAACAGCATGAGAAAGCAGGTTTGTTCATTTTTACAGTTGTACAGACCATTTAGCACAGCCCACTATTTCATACTGGTATCACTGGGGGCTCTATGAACACCCAAAGCAGGAAAACTAGGGAAAATGACGCTGTCTGAATTTTAGCAAAGTCTCATGAAAGTCAAAGCATGACTTTTTGTTATTTTAACAGCTTTTGATATTGCTTGTTCTGTTCTTAATTTGTTGTCTGTTATGAATGAAAATAAAAGCAAAACTCTGATATCAGTTTTGAGTCTTAAACCTGCACCTAATCCCTCTATAACATTGTGTTTGTAAATACAGGATTAATCCCAAAATGTGGCTGGTCCCTGTCAAGCATTATTTTCCAATCTCTGCCACATATCAAGTAATAAATTTGACTTTACGTAGAGACTGAATATTGATCAAATAAAGAATAAAAATCTGTGTCCTGATTTATTGTGAGTTATACTGTGCCCTTGAGAGCTGCAGATTATTTACAGGAATAACAAGAATATCCACAGGTTACAATAGAACAGACAGGACTTTTGGAAGGAATTGAAAATCTCGTGTTCCGGGGCCTGTGGAGTTGTAAATCTCCACAAAGGATCTGTGTTCTCCGTGGGACTAAGCCAGGAGCATCCTTTCCCCTTCCCTTGGACACAGGCTCATGGATGCGATCCCAGGTGGATCTTCTGGGGCTGAGAGCACTGGGTAGGAAAAGTGTCCTGCAGGGCTCCTGGAGGTGATTCATCTCACACAGCTCTCCGAGATGGATCCTCCAGGTCCCTCAGCATGGATCCATTTTGCCGTGGAAGGGATGTGTGACCCTCATCCCTGTTGTTCCCACCACGCTGTCAGTGCCAGTGCTGCTGGAGGGCATGGCCTGGAGAGGCTCTTGAGCACCCTCCACCTTCTCCCCACGTGGTAGGAACACATCCATCTTTCATCCTGCCTTTCTTTACCCTGGCAGCAGACACTTGAATTTACATCCCCACGGGATCCTGGAGAAAAGGCACTTTCATGTCATTAATTAGGACCCGTTAGAGCCAAGGGAACTTGAGAGCACACTCGAGCATTTGGCCAAATGCTGCTCCTTTGCCGACTCCAGGTCTTGGACAGTCCCTTTGAAATTAAGGATAAAACTGGAGTAGGTGAGCAGCAGCTCCCCAGGGGTAAAACTGGAGTGAGTGAGCAGCAGCTCCTCAGGACTCTGAGCTGATTAAAGGCAAGCGAGAGAGAGAAAACATATTTGTAGAAATACAGATGCCTCCAGTCCCACTTGAGAGTGCAATTATCAAAAAGGTGACTGTACAGTTTGCTTTCAACCTACAACCGTGACATAAACAGGATCAAAAGGGATCACTTGGCTGTGGGTCATCTCAGACTGTCCATGCTCCAAGATCTTGCACCCTTCTGAATCCTCTACCCTCCCAACACCACGACACATCTGCCCACAAAAGAAAGGGTTAAAAGCCTGGACATCCCTCTCCTGTACCACGGAGTGTTTCAGAGTCAATAACTAACAAGTTTGTGGGTATGAAGGGAAGGAAGGACTTGCTTTACATATCAATGCTTAGGAATATTCTGTGATTCCACTAAAGGCAGTGGTTAACTGTGGGGTGCCAGCTGGAGTGGTGACATCTGCCCTCGCTCAGAGCGGCCGGGACGCTGTCACTGCCTTTGAAATGGCCTCCTGCATTCATCAGTCTGGATGGCACAGAGAAGTTATAACCATACAGGCCATATGGAGGATGTAAAGAACAATTAAGTGCTTCCCGAGCAATGGGACTTGATGGGAAAATGTTTCCAGATGCATGTAATCCATACAGCATTTGACCAGCAGAGCCGGGCACTTGCAGGCACTGGGCGTTTAAGTCTTCGGCTTTGGCGCTTTTCAGGTTGGTTATGCCGAGGGAGGACAGTCTGGGCACATCCACTGTGAAGTGGGGTAAGAGGTGTGGGTTGGTGCCTCCCAGCTTTTTGTGGCTCGGAAAGATGAGAGACTGCTGTCTTAAGAAGCCCGTAGGGCAGATCTTGTAGTAGAGGGGCACGCTGAGGTTGGGCAGGAAGGTCTCGGGGCACGACACGCCGATGTTGCTCCCTGGCAGGTGGAAGGTGGGAGGGGAGCACGAGGGAGAGAGCAGGGGGTTCAGAGGAGAGGGGGTCCCACCGCTGGAGGTCACCGGGGAAGAGCTGGAGCTCCCACCTGAAAAGGAAAACAGAAATCATCCAGGCTGGGCTGGCTGGTGTCCACAGCCAAGGAACCCTCTGAGGACTCCTGCTCCCACTCCACGTCTCCCTGCTGCCAGTGTCCATCCAAGCACAAACTCACTCCAAAAACCAGCTCCTGGAAAACAGGAAGATCTATCCATAAATTATTTGTTGATGTTACTCAGCACTACTTCAAGAACAATATTCACACATGGCTAATCCCATTCCATGGACTGGGACCGCTGTGAAGTCCAGTTCCACGCACCTGATGGGTCTGTACCTGGCTGTGCAACTGATAACCTTCCCCTCTTACACACACCATGGCTATTTCAGCTTCCCCGTTTTTCACACAAATTCCAGACAGCTTTTTCCCCTTGGATATAAGAACAAAAAAGCATATTCAGCCTGATGGAGAATTTTCTGTACCTTCCTGCTCACAGGAATTGACTCATTTCACTTGGCTTCCCAGGCAATTTGAAATGCAGCCCTGAATGCTATCGGTGTCTCCAGAAACTTAAACCCACATGTCATTTTAACATCCCCCTTTCTGAAAGGGATGAATGACCACTTTCAGAATTCGGTAGAAAAGCAACACCAAGGAGCAAAGCTGAGGCAGGGATGAGATGGCTGCTCTGAGGTGGGAATGGTGCTCCGGGGCAGCCAGCTCTGGTGCTACACAGATGTTGGTTTGATCTCCTGCCTTTAAGGAGCTGTGTGTCCGCTGCACAGTCATTACCAAATCCTTCCAGAGGGTTTCTTTTTCTCCCTCTTTGTTTTAATTTCTTACCAAAGTGACTGGGAAAGGAAAGAAGGGAATGTGGATCCCTTTGTGCTACGTGTCTTCCCCTATTTACGCTGAATTCCAAGCGATGCACTGCCGGGATGTGATCTGATCGGAATTCATGCGCAACCAGCGACCCGGAATCGGCTGTAAAACCCCACCACTGTAAAATCAAACTGACATCTAAGGTTTAGCAAACCTTAAAAGACCTTAAAAAAAACCCACAAAGATTTTGGACGTGGTGCAAATTAATTTCCTCTCCCAGATCAGCACCCAGGCTCAGGAATCCAGGGAGGTTTTGTGCCCTGAGGATCTCACCCTTCCCGGCTGATGTCAGTGGGGCTTCAGTCCTGACACCAGCAGGGCAGGATCCAGTCCTTTCCCAATATACACATCCTGATGCCCTCCAGGAATCAGGGGCTTTGGATTATGGAGAATAATGTGACTGAGTCGATATTTGTGAGTGGGAGGCAGTGACTGAATCCCTACGTGGTTGGATCCAGCAGAGCAAACCAGGGGTAGGATTTGCTTTACAGTGTCCTAAGCAATATCACCCAACTTCCAGAACAAATCTGGGATTGAGGATTGCAGCAGAGAGGACAGAACAGTTCAATGAGCAGATGTTTTCTGTCCTTTCTGTTATGTTTAAAAATCAAAAGTTTATGGCCAATTCTTTCTTTAGGATGTTGATTGTAATTTCATTTAAATTTACCTGTTAGTTATAGAGCTTTGGGATTTCTATTTTTCGGCTTTTCTTCAGAAATATAATTTTAGCATTAATAGAATTGGAGATTTTGTTATATTTACATCAGTCCAGGAATCTGACTCTGAAAAAAAATACCAATTACATGAAGACAAGCATAAAAAAAATAAATTAGAATTTTCAGGTAGCCCAAATATTTTAACATATGTACAATAATACTTTAGCATCTTTTAGCATTGCCATTGCAGTTGCTGTCGCCTCATTCCCCACTGCAGCTCCTCCACCAGTTTCTCTCCCCAGTGCTGGCAAACGGGTTCAAAAGGGGCTTTTTGAATAAAATATTTTGTAGATATAAAATGTTTATTATTGTTATTGTTACTATTATTATTATAGTCGTTAACATTAATAATAAAATTACTACTACTAATAATAATAAGGATAATTTAAAAAATCTAATTCTCTTTATAATTGATAAACCTTTTAATTTCTCCCTAGTCTGATTTTTTTGTGTCCCCTTTTCTTCGCCTGCAGAACATGAATTTTTCCCGTGATTTTTTGCAGCAGTTCCCTGCAGACACAGCTGACTTGGTGTGTCTCAAGACTTAGAAGAGTTCCTAACCTAAACGAGACTTAAACCGGCGACTTTAAACCCAAGCTGGAGCCTCCAGCGTGCAAACACGCTGTTAGTTTTTTTTTTTTCCTTCGGCGCTATGAATAATCAATTTTCAAATATTACTTCCAAAAGTCGTTTTACGGGAAAGGGCTGTAAGGGACCGGTGTGCGCTTGCCAGGATGAGAGAGAACATTTTTTCCCTTAAAACTTTCCCCTCTTCCCTGCGTTTCGGTGGGACTGCTGCATCCTAATAACAGATAATTTTCTTTTCTGTTGCATAACGCGTTTGTCGGCGCAGAAGCCGCCGCTGCAGAAGACACCGGCCGTCACTATTCCCACGTTTTTAGCTGATATTCCTAAACCGGTTGGAAGCAATTAGTGGAACAGGATCAAAGCCGTAACAACCCGACTCCAAATTAGCCTCCTGCACGCTCACAGATTTTTTTCTGCCCATCTCACTCTGATTTCAGCCGGGGGCTCGGGCAGCGCCGTCATCCTGCTCTTCCCGCTCCTCTCAACGATTTGCACGGGAATTTTGTCCAAACCCACGCGGTATTAAATCCCCAAACGGCGAATGGTTCGTTTTCTGGACCCACCGCGTCATCCTGGTGGTTTGAGCCCCGCGGGGAGCCCCGAGCCCGCGGGAGAGGCAATGGACAAGACTTACCGTGGCTGTCTGCGCCGAAAGCCTTGAAATCCAGGGCGAGGGGCGGCCGCCACGGGTAGGAATCCAGGAGCCCATCCAGGACCCCCCTGCGGGGGGACAGCGGGGTGAAGGCGGTGGGACCGGGGGCTCGGCGGGGCGGGCGGCGCAGCGGCCCCGGCTCTTACCTGTTCCTGCCGGGGTCCCGAAAACCTTTGGCGAAGGGATTCCTGTCGATCTTCAGCTTCGTGATCTGGAGGGTGGGAGCGAAAGGGGCCGTTGGGGCGCGGGGTGAGGAGGGACTGGCCATCGGGGCTCTCCGTCCCCCTTGTTCCCGTCCCGTCAGGGCTCTCCATCCCCACAACCCCCGGGTACCGTCGCAGCTCTCCATCCCCTCGGCCGGTTCTCCGTACCTTCGGGGCTCTCCATCCCCCTGATTCCCCGTCCCGTCGGGGCTCTCTGCCCCCCCGATCCCCCGTACCTGCTGGTTCTGGTAGGCCGTCACGGTCGTGAACTCGGTCTCCTGGAAGGAGAAGGTCTGCACCCCCTCGGCCGGCAGCGACTGGATCTGCGCTAGATCGAAGCGAGAATCCTGGGCGATAATGTGGACGCGGGGCTTGTACTTGTGCATGGACTGCAGGATGATCTGTGCGGGGTGAGAGGCGGCTGAGACCCCTCGGAGGGAGAAGGGCAGGAAGAAAACCCGAGGCGAGAAGTCGGTGAGACCCAGCCCTTAGACCCGGGGCAGGAGGGATCGGCCCCCCCCCTTCCCAGCGCTGCCCCTCGGGGTGATGTTTCTGCCCCCCGGGGGGATGTTCTGCCCCCCCGGGGGATGCTCTGCCCCAACCCGCCCCCCTCGTCGGGCTGCCCCACACCTACGTGCCCCTTGTCGTCCATCTCGTTGTTGGTGAGCTTCACCCGGTCGAAGCTGATGATTTGTCTCATCCAGGTCTCCCCCGAGCAGGGGGAGTCGGGGTGGATGTAGAGCCGCGGGGTGATGCACGAGTGGTCCGTGTTCCCCGCCACCATCCACTGCGAGCTGTGATAGACGTACCTGGCCCGGGCCGGGCGCGGTCAGGCGGCGGAGGGCCCGTCCCCACCTGCCCCCACACCCAGGCACACCTATAGAACCTATAGGTGCGTGCGGGGCCCCCAGCGTGTCACATTCGGCCCCGGCCGGGCCGGAGCGCAGACCGCGGACAGCCGGGCAGGGGGGGACCCGCGTGGGTGTGGAGGTCCCCGCCTGTCCCTCCTTACCTGTATCTTTTGGAGTCCACCGGGACGACGTCGATGGCGATGTAATATTGCTGCAGCGGATCCAGCCCCTTCACCTTCACCCGCACCGACGGGAACATCCTCCTGCGGGCACAGGGAAGGGGCTGAGCAAGAGCTGCCGCTTACGGGCCGAAAAGGGGTTGGAAAACTATAAACGGGCATCGGCAGGGGGAAAAAAAAAATCGAACTCAACGAAAATAGGGGAAAAAGGGGCAAACGAAGAAAAATAGCCCAACAGAACAGAAAAACCCCAAACGACAAAACAAAACAGAAAAAAAACCCCAAGAAACAACACCCCCCCCGCACTCCTAAAAAAAAAAAAAAGAATATGGGGGAAAAAAAGAAAGAAAATAAAAGGTAAACGGAAAAGCAAAGCCCGCAGTGAGGCGCGTTCGGGCGCTCAGGCGCGCCGAGGGCCGTCGGTACTGCCGGCCCTTGGTGCTGCATCATCTCGGTACCGATGTTCGTGGAACCTCCTCCAGAGCTCGGAGCCCTGGCAGCCTCCACCTGCCACCCGGGCCGGCCGCGCCTCGCGGCCGGCCGTTGGGCCGCTTCTCTGTGGGAATCACAAAGGGAGAGGGGGAGTCTGCTCGGAGGCTGCGGGCAGAGGGCGGCCCTCGCCCCCGTTCGCCCCGGGTCCGCCGGGTCACCGGACCCGCCTCGGGGGTTTGCGGGCGAGCGGCAGCCGGGGCCGCGGCCTCCTCATCGCCGCCCGTCCGCACCTTGCCTCTTGGCCGAGCGGCCCACCCGGCTTTTTCCACCGAGGAAGGCGTGCAGCCCGGGAGCTGAGCGCAATCCCCCCCGGCTGCCGGGGGTCCCCCCGGGCCGCAGCGGGGCTCAGCGGGCGCGGCGCTCCATCCCGGACCCGCACCAGCGACCCCTCGCGCCGGCCGCCGCACCGCTCCGTCGGGGGCAGCGGCCACCGCCAGATCCTCTTGCATACCAACTGAGATTCAATAGCGGCTGCAGCCTCGCTCTGTTTGTTTTGGAAACTGGTGGGGCCATAAGAAACATTGAGGGACCTTTCATGGGAGTAACGGGGGGGGAGATGGGAGGAGGAGAGAGCGGAGCAGGGCTTGGGGGAGAGGGGGAAGAGGAGCCGGCCCCGTCTAGGATCAATAAAAGAGTTACTGTTCTCCATTAAATTGTAAAACTCAAAGAAATTTGACATAATTGCACACTAGGGGCCACTTTTCCAACAAAAGTGCAAATAACGTTTAACCAGAAACAGCGCAAAAGGGAAAAAGGGAAAAAAAAAATAAAAACAAAGAGAGAAAAGGAGAAAATAAAAAGAAAAAAAAGGGGGGAAGGGAGGGGGAAGAAAGAGAAACGGGAGGGAAGTAAAAGCGAAAGGGGGAAAAAGGAGATAAAAGAGGAGAGGGAGCCTGTGCCCCCCCCCTACCGCCCAACGGCCGGTCACAGTCTGACGCGGCCCGCTCCGGTGTCGCCCCGGAACTGACAAGACCGGGCCAACCCCCGGGCTGTGACAGCGCCGGGCACGTAAGTTCTCGGCCTCGTCTCCGGTTTCCTTTGCTTTTTCGTTTGTTTAGGTTGTTTTTGGGTGTTTTTTCAAGAGGCAACAAACCGCCCCCGACTGACCTGACCCGCCCCTCGGCCTCCGCTTCAAGCACGGCCGCCGCCGCGCAGCTGCCTGGCTGATAGGGCAGGAAATTCCTCGTTTCCACGGCGGTAGTGCCGGGGAGCCCCTGCGGCGCCGGGAAAGGGGGGTCCGGGCTGGGGTCTCCGGCCGGGACCCTCAGGTGCGCACGGAAAGGGCTGCGCGGGATTTGCGCGGCATTCCCTCCCTCCGGGAACCTCCCCACCCTGCACAGGCTGGAAGCCACCGGGCTGATTTACTTGCCAGCCGGGAACCCTCCCCAGAGCTGGCACCAAAGGGGATTCATGGGCTCAGGTGGGTTTTGGGAGGGGAAATGCTGTTCGCGCTGGGCTGGGAGGGTGTTATCTCCCCCCCCATCGCCTGCGCAGCGGGGAGGTCAGCCAGGAGAGAAGAGCCTTAACGGGAAAAAAATGTGGGAAGGGATAAAATTCACAGACCAGCTGAGAAAGCAGGTTTGGGCGGGGAGGGAGCTGCTGCAGGGCTTTGGTGTGACAGCGCTCCGTGCTCTGCTTCCAGGTGCTCCCGGAGTTGCAGGGAAGCCCTGCTTCATCCAAATGTTTATTTTTCAGCATTTCCTTCTCTGTTAGGGTTGGTGTCCTGGTGCATGCATTCCCAAACTTTGGGCTGGCAGCAGGTTGTCTTTGTGGAGATCATGGAATGGTTTTTGCTGGAATGGATCTTTAGGCTCATCCACTTGCACCCCCCGACGTGGGCAGGGACATTTTCCAGTATCCCAGGTTGCTTCAAGCCCCGTCCAACCTGGCCTTGGACACTTCCAGGGATCCAGGGGCAGTCACAGTTTCTCTGGGCAACCTATGCCAGCATGTGGTCCAAAATATGTATTCAAATGCCCCAAACTCACTCCATTGTCCTCAAAGTCCTATTCCAAGGACACTCCTTACTCAGTTTATGGTGGGCTTTGTGCATTGATACTCATTTATATGCATTTATAACAACTGATACTTTTTAAATAGACATTTATACACGAAATTCTGGGCAAATCTCACTGGGACAGGGGTTTGATCAAGGAAAAGACCTCGGAGGAGGAGAATGGGTGCAGGTACAGGTGCCAAAAGCCAGAGCTCAACATCCAGCCTGGACACCTGTTTGGAAGCTGCCCGTTTCTCTGGCTGCTGCCCTTCCTCCTGTGCCAGCTCTGGTTTGGCTCTTCCCTGCAGCCTGATTTGGGAGAGGAAAGTTGGTGTGCCAACTTCCCAAAGTCTGTAAGAAAGATCTGGACAGGCTCCTGTTGAACCCTTGGTGGGAAACTATTGTTTATGGCACTGGGGACAGATGTACCTGAGCTGTAAAATAAAGTGTATAGAGGGATGTTTATGGAATTTGCTTCCCCAGAGCTCTGGTATCTGAGGTTACATGGGAGAAGAGCTCACCCCAACCCTGGAAGTTGCTCAGGAATCTCTTAGTCATCCTTCTCCTCCTCCTGTCCCTCAGAGAGGCTGATGCTGATGAGATTTAACTTATTATTGAGGATTTTGGTGTTTCTCACCCTTCACAAAGTGTCTCAAAATACAGAGACCAGCTATGTTGTGCTGTAATCTGAATTATAAATGGGTTTGTCCCTGTTTTACTCCATCTTCTCAGTGATGTCCATCAGCAGTGGCCTCTGTTCATGTGGTTTTGTTTCCTACAGGCACGTCCAGGTGGCCTTGCCCAATGCCTCTATGGGACAATGTCCAACCTGCTGCAGGGGCTCCTCTGGGATGTTATTCCACAGGACATGATTCCCTGTCAATGGCAGGAGGTTGGAATTAGGCTATCTTGAAGGTCCTTTCCAACCCAAACCATTCTATGATCCCTCGGGGCAAGAAGTGTATGGAGAACAGGGTTGGGGAGGGGAATTTGGGGGTTACCTCCTGCTCCAGGCAGGATCAGCCCCTCCTATGCAGATCTTTATTTCTTCTTACAAAGAGAAATGAAATTTTACAAACATGTTCATAATTAGAAGAGCATAAGCTCATGGTTTCCAGGGAAGGTGACCAGCACAGCCCGGCGCTGATCGAAGCCAGCTGAGGGCATGAAGTGTGAACCTTTATCTCTGCTGACATGACATATTATTAAAAAGTATTTCGAGTAATCTTTTATTTCCTCAGCATTGCAACACATTTCAAGAACTTGGCCGGGGATCAACCGAGCCTTTTTAATTTCCTACAATGAAAAATAAAACAAAAATAAAGCCCAATTGAGATGATATAATCAGGAACATTTTGAGGGTTTAGGTCAAATTAATGTGTCAGAGAAGGGTTTTCAGGGGACTTGGAGAGCTTTAATCTGTCAAAGGCTGACTCAGACCTTGCTTGGGCTCTGTAATCTCATTGTCTTTACCAAATTATGGGATGGTATGTCCTGTATTAGTGTCATCAGAGTTGAGCAAATAATCAGTTGGCATAAAGTTCAGAATAACTAACTTAATTTTAAAGCAAGTGTTATACAATAAGCCAGAAATGTTTGCTTAACTTGAAAATGATCTTTTAATACTGTCCATTAATGTGTGAAAGCACACAGGTAACCTCCAAATACAGCCTTGCCTGGCTACTTTTGGGGCAGTTATTAGGAGATTGGATTGTGTTCGAGCTGTCCTCAATTTTGCCAAGATTTACCTCACATTTACCAACACAAAACAAATCAAACCTAAAGCAAATCAACCCTGACTTCTGGTTTAGGGGTAATACTTTATTATCACCTACACTCAGTTATTCATCTGACACTTTCATATCTTCACTCCATCATCGGTTTATATAAAGCCGCAATTATAAATTTGGTGCTTGGACATTTTGGGTTCTAATGGATAAACACAAATCATCAGCAAGAAAATACTTATTTATTTATTATTTGGGATAAAACATGGTTTCTAACCCTGCAGTCTCCAGCCAGGGGGATGCAGCACTGTTGCTCCCATCACACAGTCTCAGCCATTGCTTATCCAGTGTTTAATGAGACAACGAGCAATCAAGGCTACAGCTGGGTGTGGGTGCACCTCTTCTCCCACTGGGTGTATCTGAGGTGGGACATGCTGAGTAATATTTTTGGGTGGTGTAACTCCTCTAGCAGAGAAGCAGCCGGAGGGAGCAAAGCAGATCTCTTGTCTCCGTGTGCTCTTCCCACCCCAGCCTTGGCAGCACCAACCACATCCACCCCTTAAAAATCTTTCCTGTCCTGTAAAAAAGCATTTCAGCATTGATTTAACCCTCTTTGCTCCAGGACTCACCCTCCAGTTGGCTTTTTTCCCCAGTTTCCCAACCTTACTTCTACCAGTAAATAAAGGATTGGAGTTTTTTTTTCAGATCCAAACCTATTTGCTTGTTGTGAATCATGGAATGGTTTGGGTTGGAGGGAACATTAAAGCCCATCCAGTCCCATTCCCTGCCATGGGCAGGGACACCTTTCACTATCCCAAGTTGCTCCAAGCCCTGTCCAACCTGGCCTTGGACACTTCCAGGGATGGGGCAGCCACAGCTT